GCCGGGAAAAGGAAAATGAAATGATATGTCACAAGACTCTCTGCTGTAAAATTACAATATAATAAAATATGATAAAATAAAACTATTTTTTCGGACTTTTTCCGCGGATTTATTTTGATTTTTGGTTCCCGACGCGAAGTTTCGAATGATTTACAGCAATCATGGTCATTGGAGAGACTAAGGTGTTAGATGTCTCTAAGGCATTATATAGTAGATATTATTTTAAATTCATTGTATCCCTAAATTTTAAATTTCTAAACATATCTTTTGTATATTGTATTTGGTAGGTAAGTAGATTCTATGTGTTACATAGTACCTATTATACACTATTGTGCCATTAGAATTTTTCTATCTAATTTTATTGGAATGTTCACATGAAATTATATATGATCGTCAAAAGTTTAAATTCAATACACTCGGACTACTATTTTAAATATAAAAGTTTGTATAGTGTTTGTATATTTGTTACACCTTAATGCTGAAACGGCTGGACTTATTTGGATGAAATTTAATTCACAGATAGGCTATAAGTTGGAATAACACATAGGCTACTACGGATGTATGCGAATGAAGGAAAGGTAAGTTTCTACACGTCCGTATAACCATAAGCATGTAAGGGTTGTTTATCTCTAGACCAAGCCTTAATTTGGTCGATAGTGCAGTTCATTTGCATAGTTATATGCACCATTATATTTGCATTAGTCAAGATATATGATCTTGACTTATATTTGATTTTGTTCTGTCCTTTAACAGATTCCGTCGTTTGCAGATTTCATCATCATATGTTTAACATATTAAATAAAATTATCTCGTTAGTATTATATACCTTTAAATACATAAATAATACACTTACAGACTTACATATTTGTAAAATATAGTTTTAGAAAGCTAAGAAGAATGTTATTTTATGCAACTAATGTACTAGTTCTGTACTTGTGTTAGTATTGATTAAATTATTTTACAAGTAACGATGTATGAAACTCCAAGTATATGAATATTTATATCGAATCTACTATTATAAATGCGATAGTGTGTATGTATATGTGTATGCTTTATGCTGAAACAGCTGTTCAGACGATTTTCGGAAAATTAATTTAAAAAAAAATTGCGGTTATGATAAAATTTTGCGAAGTGATGAATCCATACTAATATTATAATTGCGAAATTAACTCTGTCTGTCTGTCATGTTTTCATGTCTAAACAGCTGAACCAATTTCGATAAGATTCGGTAAAGAGGGATGGGACCTTGAAGAAGGACATATGATACTATTTGCAACAAAAATGAAACTTGAAAGGTGTGAAATAGAGGTTGAAAATTTGTATTGGGAATAAATAATTTCTCAAGTTGAAGACAAAAAATTCATAATATTCTCTCTGTAAGGTTGAAATAATATTACGGCGTTAATGTGTATGGTAATTAAGATGAAATAGGATATGATTTTTTTTAAAGTACTTACCTACTTTTCTATACCTATCTATCTATAACAATAGCCATTAAAACGTACCTAGGGACTAACCCGAGCTAAGCCAGGGTGAGTCGCTAGTTATAAAAACATATTAAAATAACATATTGCAAGAGACTGTGCTTCGAATTGCGACTTTATGAATATTTATGACGAAAATTGTAATGCAAAGCTTTTGTAACCAATCACAAATAACATTCTAAGTTGGTGCAGTTGTAAAGTTCAGTGTAAGGCTCAAAGTTTCGAGAACAGGTGCAAACTTGTACAGGAAAAGCAGTAGAGATTCTCCGACTTAATGAAAATGTTTATACATTACTCTCTATATCAGAAATGTCCAAATCATAGTAAGCAAAATAATAGTTATAAAGGCAAAATTTGTGAAAGTTTTAAATTTTGCAGATATTTTTATTCAGTTGTTTTACGTAGTCAAATTGTATATTAGAACAAAACTTTCTAAATAAGTAGGTTCATGTATAGTCAAAATGTAAGACAAAAATTGAATAATTTCCGATTAGAAAAATAATGGATTCCTAGGCTTCTCACACATATACACTTATATAAGAAGATTTATAAAAGACGAGATAATCTCCCGCATCTCTAAAAACAGTAGCCTATGTCACTCTCCAGCGCTCCAACTATCTGTATACAAAAAATCACTTCAATCCGTCTTTCTGTTTCTACGTGAAAGAAGGATAAACAAACAAACAAACAAACACACTTGCACATTTATAATATTAGATAGATTTGCAATAATTCTGTATAAATCAAATGATACACTCTTGCCGTCGAAATATCAACTATATAGATATTTATTATATTTCTTCTACATTAAGGAAAATACTCTAATTTTTATTAAAAAGATTCTAATTTATAAAAAATTTATAATACATTTTCATACTTTCATAACACATTTTATAAAAGACTAGAAAATCAAAAACAAATCTATACTACGGGAACCATAAATTTTTCTAGAATAAAAAGCCTATATGCTATTCCAGACTTCTCTGTCTCTATGCCAATCATCCAGATCCGTTCAGCCGTTCTGGCGTAATTAAGTAACAAACATCCAAACATCTAGACTTTTATATTTATGATATTAGTATGACTATAATTTTAAAAAGAAATATAAAAATCATATCTAGGTACAAAACTTTTAATCTACTGTCAAAATAGATTTAAAATAATAAGATAAAAAGGATTTTGTGGAAGAAATTCCAGATAAACCCTACAATATTATTTAGTTCAATTTAAAAGGGATCAACTATCTCTGATAACTTGAAAGTTTTGAATATTAAGACTGGAGTCGCCGATTCTTGTGGAGATAATAAAGGCTTTAAGGCGTGTTTTGATGGAAATGTAATTGAGATTCTCGAGTGATATTTGTGAACTAGCTGGTTTATCTTGCTGGTATTTGAACACAAGTTGTATTGTTTTAAATATTTTTGTCCATGTAGTGTGGGAGGAAAAGAGAATGAAATTTAAATCTGTAGTTTTACTTTTCATTTTTTGCCGCTATTCTAAAAAACTAGTTTGAAGGTGTTAAATAGAGTTTTGGAAATTCTTCATAATAAAAATAAATTAATAAATATGTTGGGACATTAACACACTGCACCATCTAGTTTCATTTCAAATGCTATAAACATAAACACCTATGACTGGAGTACAAACATGCGTGCTTATCACACAAGTGAATGTCCCTGCGGGACTCGAACCCGTGACCGCTAGCACAGCAAATAGGGTCACTACAGCCAAACGTGTCGTCAAATAAGGATATTGTAATAAATAACATTACGTTTACTTCCTATTAACTTGTCTCTTTTTAAGAAAATTATTTAGTCCCCAACCATTATAATAAACGAGTATAGGTCCCTTAATCTAATTAACTGATAAACATATAAGATTTTTATTTACTCTTACCTCAACAATAAAAAGACTTTTTAAAGTCCGTCCGCCCCATCTCAATAGAAATACATTTAATCAGAAATAGATGGGTAAAATATCTATAAATATCTTATATATATATATATATATATATATATATATATATATATATATATATTCTATTTTTTTCACGTACCACTGTTGACCACAAGCATGCTTTTACTACAAGGCATTGGCGGACTTTACATATCTTGTTAGGTTCTCTCAGACATGCAAGTTTCCTCACGATGTTTTCTTCACCGTAAGGCAAGTGGTAATGATGTTAAAAATGATTCCCTCATGAGAATATCAGAAGTATGAGACCCAGGATTTGAACCCGCTTCACTCGGTTTCCCGAGCAAGCGCGATACCACTGAGCTACCATTGCATTATTTATTTTTTTCTGATATTTTATGTATTAATTTTCTATTTACATGTAAATATGTAACGCCAAATTTTGAACAAATACATATTTTAGAAAATTTGAAGTCGATGCGATGTTGTTGATTGTATGGTGACATGATTATATAGTAAGAAAAAATAAAACAAAATATGTTATATACATAATTTATTTATCCTCAGAGTCTAATTTACATACATCTTCGACATTGTTTACAAAAGTATGCAGTTACGACATATAAGATTTCGTTAGGGACTAATAAATAAATATGTTGGGACATTAACACACAGCACCATCTAGTTCCATGGTAAGCCACAAGGCTTGTGTTATGGATACCAGATAGTTGATACACTACACATATATAACTTTAAATACATACATATTATAATATAAACACCCATGACTGGAGTACAAGCATTCGTGCTCATCACACAAATGAATACCCCCAGCGGGACTCGAACCCGCGACCGCTGGCACAGCAAGTAGGGTCACTACAAACTGAGCGAAACGTGTCGTCAAATATTACTTATAATTATAAGAGATATGCCCAGTAAAGTAAACGATTGTTTAGTCGTCCCACCGGAGTATGACAGGAATATAGAGTGCACGTTGTGTCTCCGCGTACACTTGTGCACTATAATATCTCCTGCGCAGATAGCTAGTCTCAATGAGATTGTGCGCCGTGGCCAAAGCGGTTGGGTCCTCCATTATTATTATCGCTTTTATTCTGTAGATATTATTGTCAACTGACCTTATGTATCTGTAACGAGTGTTTCCGGTCTCCAGCACAGGATCAACTACTATGTTGGGACATTAACACACAACACCATCTAGTTCCATGGTAAGGTATAAATGCCATAAATATAAACACCCATGACTGGTTTTCTTGTGAGACCGTTAAGTTTTGTTTATATCCAATATTATTAGTGAAACAAACAGTAAGAGTAAGTACAGTTGATCAATTAGTATCTTGCTTAGAATTAACTTACGGACCGAATTCATACATATATGGATCAGACGCGTGGGCTATTTCTATCTGTTGTAAAAAGTTACTGAGTGAAGCAAGCACATGCCTCTTATTAGTTATTATTATTATCAATTATGTACATTCACGACGAATGTGGACCAATCAATATTATATATTTATATATAACTTTCAGTTTGTTAATTTTTTTTATTTAGCTGGGTATGAAGCATCAGAAATACCATTTTTTTCATAGCACATAAGCTATGCTGTTTTCAGCATTTTCTGTGTTGTTCAGAGAGATGTTAGAGTCCACCACATCTACTGTTTTTGAAGCTGGTTTCCATATTTTGGTTGGTGTGAATAATTCTTTGCCTCTCTGTGGGAATATGAATAAAATATTTATATAATTACATTTATAATTAGGTGCTGTACTTTTTATATTTATTAACATTTATAAAAATACGGAAGAAATTCAAAGGATGACGAAGTATTTTCATTCAAAAAATAATATTGGGCTGTGTTAACGGAAAAAATTAAAACAAAAGAAGTTTTTTTTTTATAAATAAATAAAGCCTTTATTCCCCCATACTTCCATATTCACTAACATTTAAATATACTTTTTAAATACGATTATATGTAAATAGTTTTTTTACGCTCTAGTCTATCTAATCTTAGATTGGATAGAATTCAACAAGTTATAAATAAAATCAAAACAGATCCTAATAATATATCTACGAGTATCTCTGGCTTTCCTTATTATATACATTTGATATAAGTTCCATATAAATTACTAGTGACTCAATCCGCTCCGCTCGGCAAGATACATTTTGACGGTTAGTATATCAGAGATAAGATATTTTCTCGCAGTAAAAAGTCCTATTTTTTGACCCGGATAACCAGCTATCATCATACCAAATTTCATCAAAATCTGTCCAGTGGTTTTCTCGTGATGCGTTCTCAGACAGACAGACAAAAATTCTAAAAACTATAGATTCGACCTCTGTATTGACAATAATGACTATTTCAATAAGATTTTCCAAAAAAATATTTAATGTACAGATTTGACTTAGAATTTTATTGTATGTATTGATGTCAAAGTCATATCTCTGGCAAAGAAAACTATGTACTGAGAACCAAAGAAATAGTCGAGCAATAGGTAAAACTTTGGTTAGATATTAAAATACTAAATTACTCATATTTTTACTTAAACGAAGTATTAGACTGTAAATAGTGGATATTTACTGTTAATGCGTCCAAGAAACAATTCCATGTCAACTTTTAACCTGCCGTTAATTGATTGTGCGTGACTTGAGCTTATTGGTAGATATGCATCAAAACCTTGACTTTTAGTCACGAATTGTTATGGCTTCTAAATTATATTAAAATATTTTGAAAAATACTATAACAAAATATTAGAAAAAAGAATTTTTGATTTAAAAAATAAACTTTTCTAAGTATTTTTTTGTGTAAATATAACTAAAACTTACATATCCTTTGTATAAAGCCCAGAAGATGCCAACAGGAAATAGTACAAGCGTAGAAAGCCCAACCGCCCAACCAAGCAGATCAGCGAACAGAGGAAATACGTAATCCTCATATGACGGCGATTGCCAGTCAGAGAAAATAAATATAAGGATACCCTGAAAACAAAAAATAATATAATAAAGCTTTTTAGCCGGCACCATTTAATTATAATTTAAAACACGAAGTTTGCCTTTAGTCTGTTAAGAACTGATTTGAATTCCTTTTTTTATGAATAGACCATACCTCAAGGGGCTTGTATAAATGTTAAGGTTTGACGATACGTTTGGCTCAGTTTGTAGTTACCCTACTTGCTGTGCCAGCGGTGGCGGGTTCTAGTCCCGCTGGGGGCATTAGTGTGATGCGCAAGAATGTTTGTACTCCAGTCATGGGTGTTTATATTTATAATAATGTATGTATTTAAAGTTATATATGTGTAGTGTATTAACTATCTAGTATCCATATCACAAGCCTCTTAGCTTACCATAGATAATGCTGTGTTTTATGGCCACAACATGTTTATTTTTATTTTTTTTAATGAAAGGAAAGGAATGTAAAATTTATATATAAAACAAATTCTGACCTAATTTTGTTATTTATATTTTATTCTATGAATAAGTTATATGATAATTTGAAAATCAGGCTTAGTAGACTTTTGAGAGCTGGCTATGTGTTAATTGATTGACCTTTAATATAAACGCAAAGTTCTTAGTCAACTGCGAGATGGCGTCCAATATTCTAGTCAAAAAGGTCTGAATTTCTTAAGTTACGTAAGTATGTATTCCGTCTTTAAAATGATTTTTTCTTACAATTTTTATTATGAAATCCCTGTGCAAGGGTGGCATGGCATAGTGCTAAAAACTTCTTATGAGACATAACACCTTGTTTTTTGCCCAAAAATCGGCATTGCGATTCAATGAGGAAATACAGCTAGCATCCTTGTCACATTACACAATAGGTATATGACTTGTACAGTAATTGTACATTAATTTTGTGTATACGAGTATGTACATATATTTAAGGACAGATTCAGTTTCTTTATATATTTTTTGTAAAGAACGGATCTCATCACCTATAGGTACTGGACATAACAGAAATATATATAAGAATAAGATGATTGATGGAGATGATAAGATGATTGTTATTAAAAAAAACAAAACTTAAATATTAAAAGTAAAACTTTTTAAATCCTCAAATCTTTTTAAGATTTCCGAAATATAAATAAAAACATGTTTGCTAGTTAACTTTTGGGATATCGTTGCCAAAACTGCAGATAACTGAAAGACCGTAAGAATGTGAAGTTTTGCTGCCAACTATAAATCAGAAATAACGAAAGCTTGAATGAAAAAAGTTAAATCTTTTTCTTATAAACCCAAAGATATATTAATTTAATTATTTGTATAATATAATATGTATGTAATCTATATTAATAAATGGAGAGCCGCATTTTTGTTCAGTTATACTGCGATAACTACTGAACCGATTGGAATAATACTCATACCATAAGATGCAGTGTGTTTCGGAGAAGGTTTTAGTATATGATATGTTGGTAATGTACTATGCAGGCGGAGCCGCAGGAAAACGCTAGTGTATAATATAATATCTTCGTTTTGAGGTGGTTACCAAAAAAAAATTGAATTTTATATAAGACTAACGACTTATCCTCGCTTCGCTTGGGTGCGTCTCTAAGATCGTTTCAAATATCGTTACGTTTTAAATTTTGAGTGTACCTTAGGAGAAAACTTATGTTATTGTAAATTTTTGTACAAACCTTTTTAAGACTTACAATTTTCTAGCACATTTTTTGATGTATCTCTTAAAGATTAGCCAGCGTTAGACATGTACATTTCTAAGGACGACTCGATAGAACCAATTTTTGTGTTTTCCCGTGGGAATGAATTTTTTTCCTGTAGTAAGAGGTGTCCTAAATGTTGAAACGAATAGTAAGTTATCACTAAAAAATCGGTTCAGTACTTTTAGACTGAAACGTGCACACTAACAGACATGCAGACAAATAGACAAAAAATATTATTTTGGGGTCTATTTTCTGTGTACAATACGTTGCAGTCATCAAAAAATATTTCATGTACAGATTTCCCTCCATTACTATTTTGTTATATGTATAGATGATTTAAATGACGATGATGATTTAAATATGAAATAGAATCACTATGACCCCTGTTTATTCTTATTTTAGAAACCTATACTTGTAGGTATACTTGAAATATAAAATAAAAGTACTTCCAAACCAAAATTAAATGTAGTAAATAGTATTTTAATAAAATGAATTAAGAAAACTAATAACGAATTTTTAATTATTTTGTTTGCGATGTGCTTTTTTCTAGGAATTTAATATCGATTGAATTGAATCTTAAGAAGTTGTTAAATGTAGCGTAGCGCACAGCAAGTTTATGAAGATGAGTGACAGTATCTTCTCGTTAAAAATACGACTAAAATCTTCTTTATAATTTAAAAAGTATAGTAAAATTTCAGCTTTGTAAGTTTTATGCGGTATATTATGGCTGTATATTGAAAAATATTTAATATAGTTCATATACATCACTATTTAATTACTTAAGAATGATGAAAAACAATTTCGTTGATACAATATGAGAGTGCTCAAAGCAAAATTTTCCTTTAGGTCTACCGCTACTCGGGTATAATATATATAATAGGTGTAACCTATTATTTTTATGAATTTCAGTTGGTTTGATACAAATAGTGAAATTCTGTGTTATCTCTTCTACTATGTACTCAACAAAAATGTTAATGTATGAACCATATGTATGAACTTACTAGTACGTAGATAATTGAAGTATATAAATATTATTAAATATATAAATCTGGATTATTCGTAATTAACTTTGGTTTCTCTAAATAAAAATTTACTTTAACGTTATATTTTTCTGTAATACAAATATAAATGATTGCTGTTTCAATGAAATATGGTTATAAATATTTATGAACTCGTTTCTCCACAAATTTATCATCATAATAAATAAAAGTATATAGTGAAAACGTATTTATATTTATTTTTGTTTGAAATTAAAAAATCATTGGCTTATTGGCTAAATTAAATATATTATATTTCGTAGCACCACGGTCCAACGGTTATATTTTTCATATAAAACTCTGCAAAAATAAACCTTTCTTTAACATTTTCTATGTAAATATCCAAAGACACTTTGTAGTTGATGCACGTTTCTACAATAGTTATCTGCTAATTAACCTAAATAAAATTCAAAAAACTCTTACGTGTATTCATAAGATTAAATAATAATCTTTTTATATAATTTTTCTTGGTTACTTACAGAGACCTGGACCGTAATTAAGGGCCGGTAAGGCTTTGCAGACGTGTCCCTGTTATCATTTTCTCATTATATTTTTACATATAATTTCGTTTTAAATATCATTAGGTAATAACTAACTTTTATGCCTGGCTTCGTGCTTGTGAATTTAACTTCATGCACAAAATTTATGAATATTTATACTATGTATATATAAAATAAAGTTTCTTTAAACATTAAAACTAACTAATATAAAAATAAACAAATATAACAACTCGTCTTATCGCCTCTACTGGTGACAAGAGCTGGGTTCGTTTTTCGCCCAAAGAATCGGCATTGCCATTCAACGGCATCATAATCCCTCCAGTGGTTTTTCTGTGATGCAGTAACAGATAGACCGACAGACAGACAGACAGACAAAAATTCAAAAAACTATAGACTCGGCCTCTGTATCGATAATAATGTTTATTTCAATAAAATTTTCCAAAAAAATATATAATGTACAGATTCGGCTTAGTTACAATTTTATTATATGTAGGTATAGATTAAGTATATTTTCAATTTCCTTTATTGTAAACAAAAATTAATATTATAGTAAAATAAAAACAAACGAAAACTCCGCATAGATTATACATATATAATATAATAAAGCATTTTCGTCTTTATACAAGAAAAATATTATAATTCATGTATACTTACGAGACTGGCAACAGGAACAGTGAACGTCCAGGCTGCCTTCCAATAGATTCTCAGCACTTTATTCAGTTTCATATTCATAGAAGCCAAATCTTTCATCGCGCGGTTAATGCCGTAGCTCCATGATACTGCTGTGGTCTGTAACGATATTAGACTTTAACTTATAAGTTATAAGTTCCGCCAAAAAAATTTGTCAGTCAATAAAAATTACGTGATTTTGCTGTTGACACTACTATTTTCAATGTTGCCAGATATATAATAGAGCTTGTTTACTTTCTTCAGATAATAAGGGACATTTCTTAACTTACAATTTTGGAAAAGAAAATTATATTAATAACTAGCGGCCCAACCTCGCTTCGGGTTCGCCTCTAGAAAAATAAAAACAAATCTATCCCTCGGGAATCATATATTTTTCCGGGATAAAAAGTAGCCTATGTATTATTCCAGACTATAATCTATCTGTATATGTCAAATTTCATCCAGATCCGTTCAGCCGTTCTGGCGTGAAAGAGTAACAAACATCCATACATACTCACAAACTTTCATATTTATAATATTAATAATAAAAAATACGGATGAATAATAAAAATTATAAGCCTAATTCTATATTCATTTATATTTCAATAATGTGCTGTATTTTATCTCTTAAACAGAAAGATATTTATTTTTATTACAATAAAATCCATTAGAGAATGACTCTATATTATTTCTTAGTCTGAGGTTATAAGATATGAATATCAAGTTCATAACGTTTGTTATTTATAGCTCTACGAGTTGTATTCAGCCCTTTTTAACGTCCCACTGCTGGGCACGGGCATCCATTCAATACGAGGGGAATCAGGTCATAGTCCACCACGCTGGCCAAGTGCGGGTTGGCGGACTTCACATGTCTTTCGAAAACTTGCTAAGTTCTCTAAGACATGCAGGTTTCCTCACGATGCTTTCCTTCACCGTTAAAACAAGTGGTAATCATGTTGGAAATGATTCGCACATGAAAATATCAGAAGTGCGAGACCCGGTATTTAAACTCGCTTCACTCGGTTTCCCAAATGAGCGCGTTACCACTAGGCTACCACTGCCTTACAAGTACTATCATACAAATAGAAAAAATTAAAAATTAGCATGAAAATATAAGGCATAATTATATTTGTTAAATTAGTCGTAATGTTATATTTATAACTAGCGATTCACCCTCTCTAGGTTTGGGTTCGTTCCTAGATACGTTTAAACGGTTAGTATAGATTTTTCACAGACGATATATTTTCCTGCAGTAAAAATTATCTTCCGAAAAGTTATTATTATGTTGACCCGGATAATCAGCTATTATCGTAACAAATTTCATCAAAATCTGTCCAGTGGTTTTCTCGTGATGCGTTCCCAGACACACAACATTTTTAAAATGATAGATTCGGCCTCTGTATCGATTATAATAATGAGTATCTCTATAAGATTTCCCAAAAAATATTTAACGTACAGATTTAATTCATTTACAATTTTATTATACATATGTATAGAAGATAAAACTAGTTTTTGTCCACAGTTCTGTTTTTTTGTGTACATATGTCGATTAAACGTAGTCATCCAGCATACAAGCCATTTCTATTCGAATTTCATGCAATTCCGTTGACTATTTAACGTGGGGAATATGAAAAATACTCACAAACTTTCACATTTAAAATGTATTAGCGTGTACTTGAGTAAAATATAAATTTAATAAAAGTTTTTATTCAGTTCGCGATGTATAAATAATAAAGAAGCTCTGGCTTTCAATAGAATGTTCAAGTTTAGCTTTATAATAGCTCAAACTCGCAAGACGTGGGTCCATGACACTCCGTAACATTATTAGACCACTTCCAAAACTTGCTCTTTGTGAGATAGTACAGTTCGTAGATTGTTTAGTGAGATACTGTGCATATTGTGTCAGATATATTTATTGACAATCTTATATGAATTCTGAGTCGAATAATTAAATACAATCTGTTCATTAAATATTTTTTTGGATAATATTATTGAAATAGTCATTTTATCCATACAGAGGCCGAGTATATAGTTTTTAGAATTTTTGTCTGTCTGCCTGTGACCGCATTACGGAAAAAGCACTCTAATTTTCAATGATGAAATTTGGCGTCAACATATATACTTTTTACTGCGGAAAATTATCTCATCTCTGAGAAAACTATACTAAACGCTAAAACGTAAGTAGGGAGGAACCCGAGCGGAGCCAGGGTGAGTCGCTAGTGTAAAATAAAATTATAACCGTTTGGTATTTGAAGATTTAATATTTTTTGGATAAACTGAGATAAATACTGAGAACATATACCTATAATATTTATTTATTAGCAATCACAGTGACAAATCAACTCCTTGCTAGTTGCTACCTAAATGTAATAATTACGAGTATATTAAATGTAGTTTTTTTCTCGGATAGAGTATCTATAAAATCAGAGATAGTGAAGAATTTTGCTTAAAATAATTATGTTGGTAGACAGATATTTACGAGTTACCGTACATAAATATAAGACGTCAACGTCGGACTTAGCTTCTACCAACTATCACCAAGTCAAATATCCTTCATTCAAATAGGTTGCTACAAACACTTTTGCTAATCGTTAATTTTTACGTGTTTTACATTTAAATTAAATGTCATAAGTTATTCACCTTTTGAAAACAATCATTGGTTTTGCATAAAAATCGGTCAAGTTGTATAGGTTTCCACAACACAATATGTTACGCGTTTTCCAATACACATATACAATACTTTCTATTGAATAGTGATTGAAAGCTCTATCTATTGCGAGCACGACTGACGTATGGCCAGTTTTTAGTATACATACATACATATATATATATATATATATATATATATATATATATATATATATATATATATATAATATATATTAATATAAACATCAGTTTTATTCTTTTTGATTCAGACTTCAAATATAAAGTAGTAAAAAAAAATACAATTCCACTCTAGTGTTAGTAAAGATTAAAGGCGAAGTATTTATTGCGATTGGATTTTACTATCATAAATAAATATTACGAATTAAAATTTCACGCTGCGTACAATAAAACAACAGCAAGATGAATTCCATCCCAAAAATCCAATATGCAAATATTACCAATGGAGTTGGTGCAAACATATATTGTAGAGAATAACGTTATCTACATAATATATCCTATACTATAACTGCCTCGGTGGTGTAGTGGCTAGCATATACGGCTGCAAACCCGGAGGTCCTTCGGTTCGAATCCCGGGTCGGGCCAAGTTTAGTTATTGAGTATTTCTGTATAGTAAGTCTCAGTAACTATCCGGAGTTGGGAAGTTGGCGGTGTTTCACCCCCGTTCCTCAGAGAGCACGTAAAGCCGTCGGTCCTGCGCCTTAACTCTCACTGGTCGTGTCGAGTGGTCGTCCCACCTGAGTATGAGAATGACAGGAATAGAGAGTGTACCTGTGTCTGCGCGTACACTTGTGCACTATAATATCTCCTGCGCAGTTGGCTAGTCTCAATGAGATTGGCCGCCGTGGCCGGCATCGGTCAGGAGAACATCATATGCTATGCTTCCAAAAAAGTAATGCGGCGTAGGTAGAAGAATAAAATAAATTATTATTCATTGGTACGTCTAAAAAGATTGGTTAGAAACGGACGAAATTCTTTACGAGCTCGCCTTCAGATTGTCTTGAAATTATTTAAATAGGTCCGTGTTATAATTTAATTTGCACGCTTTCCGTTCTACGGGATTGCAATTTGTGTATCTGAGTTCAAGTTAATGTGGATGTTTTTGAGCAAAAATAGTGTTTGAATTTTGTTGTTTTGCAAAGCTTTGTAAATTTGTTTTCTTTAAAACAAAGGGTGAGTAATAATTGATTTTTTGTTTGTTATTTTATTATACTAACTTCGATATAAAGGTTTGGATTCCAAATACATGTTTGCTCTGTATATAGAAATACAACATATATATATATATATATATATATATATATATATATATATATATATTCTTTCTCTGAGAAATAATAGCGTTACCGTGAAGATTAAATTCTCCAGGACAAATAAAAACTGGACAAGTACGAGTTTGGCTCAGACATATATATGGTTTGAATTCGTTTTTTGATTCTTGATTGCACGAATACCTTTTAAGGACCTATTAATTACAGTTATATGGTTTTAGGATTTTCCGAGTAAAACGGCTGTGACAAATGGGAATGGCAATTAAAGCCCGCTTTAAAAACCGCTAATACAAAGAATATAATTTTTTTTGGACAAGATACCTTCGCGGGCACACGCAGAACAATTCACTAAAGTTTCATCACAATCAGATGAACGGCTTATTTATTTATTTATTTACGATGCGAACGACTAGCTGTGATAAATGCATATTTTTGCGACATTATATTCTTATATACTATAAATATCGTTATTTGCTTTCAGAGAAAATGATCATATTAGGCAAATATAGAATTATTTAGTTCATGATATAATATTTAGAAATAGCGACTAAGAGGAATACTTTGATATTTAAAAATATAAGACAGTGTAAATTTGCACTGAGAGAATGCAAGTTTAAACAAAAACAACGAAGGAAGAGGTAAATTTGGCAAGCGTTTCAGAAGAGCGTCTTCCATTCCAAATTATATTATAGTTTTGTTTTAATTAATATTTTTAGGGTTTCAAATGTTACTGCTCGAACTTGAAATGTATTAACAAGTAAATTGATTTTTATTTTCATTTGAACTTTAATAATATTAAAGCTTTATGATTTAAACTAGTTTAAACTAGATATATTTGGAATAATAAATAACTTTGAGATTAAATGATCAAACGAACATTTTTATAACTTACGCTTGCTTCGATCATGTTCGCTTCGCTTTCCTATCACCACATTGAGTAAATACTAACGGTAGACTAATGTTATTTCAGACCATAGTCTATTTATGTGATACATTTATCCAAATCCGTTCAGCAGTTTAGGCGATAAGCAGTAACACACATACAAACACAATTTTAAATTGGAACTTACCTCAGCAATACCAATAAGAAGTATAGCCCACGACGCAGTATTCCAGTCCAGCAAAGTAAATAAATACACGCCACCGCTAAAACACATTGGTAGCCCGAGAAGAAAGCAGGAGAAGCAGGTAAACGCAGTCACCTGTAAATATAATTATATTCTTTATTAAAATAGGCGAATGTATAACGAATTTATATGTTATCTATACTAATATTATAAAGAGGTAAGTTTGTGAGTTTGTGACGTTGTAGGGGGTAATCTCTGGATCTACTGAATCGAATTAGATGAAATTTCGTAAGACGATAGTTTGAGACCCTGGGAAAGACAGGATACCTTTTTATCCCGGAAATCATTCCTTAAGGGGGGTGAAAATGGGAATGAAATTTTGTATGGGAAATCAAGCTAGGGATGTACCCGAGCAAAGCGAGGGTAAATCGCTATTATGCTATTGTATATTGGACTCGTTTTCTGCACTTAGACTCGCATTTGGTCCGTTGTACGTTGCGAATCCTGGCTAGTTCAGCCAGCCTAACTCCGTCCAAAAGCGCAAAAGCTTCCTGGGAGCTTCACAGGCTTCGCGGAGCGACCTCACCGGTTCGAGGATTTCATTTCGTTGGGAAGTTACCGCTACGCATTCCAGGACTACGTGAGCGACGCTAGTATGCTATAACCCTAACTAAAGTATAACGGTTATACTATAGTTGGAGGTAAATTAACTTTAAAAAAAAATACCTAACTCGTCTTATTTGAAAGCTGGTTGTTAGCTAAATGCTTACACTTACTAGGATTGATTTTCAGATCTTTTATTTTGATCTTTGGTTCTAAGAAAGATTTGTGTTTTTATTTACATATAAAATAGAAGCTTATATACAACAGCGTTAAAAGAGTAATCGAAATTTATTATCTAACGAGAACGAAGCCAGCAAAAATAGGGACATAAACACCAAATTCCACTATGGTAGCTGTAAAAATTATGAACTCCCATACAAACTTTCATCCCCTGTTTGATCCTTTTAGGGGATGGATTTGTAATAAACTCTTGTACAAAATATTCTTCTAGAGTTAGTTGGGCTGTTTGTTGTCAATGAGTATAAGCGTTTTATTACGTAGAAGATACCCACACGATATTTAACCCTTTTTAACGTCCCACAGCTGGGCACGGGCCGCCCAATACGAGGGGGATCAGGCCATAGTCCACACTGGACAAGTGCGGGTTGGTAGACTTCACATATCTTTCTAAAGCTTGCTAGGTTCTCCCAGACATGCAGGTTTCCTCACGATGTTTTCCTTCACCGTAAGGCACGAGGAACAAACACACTACGCACATTAAAATTAATCTAGATCTACCTCTGCAAAAAGTAGATACGAAACCGTTACCGGTTTTTTGCGAGATTAAAAACAAACATATCCACAAAATTTCATATGTATAAAACAAATAATAGGATTTACATATTGATAAAATTATTTTTTACACTGAAAAGTCAATCGGACAAAAATTATTTTTTGGGATATCAACGTTTACGTCATGTATTTATTATTTCAGTTGGAATGAAAATGAAAGGAGTGTGGGCACGTGAAACTGGTCACCTGCAAAGGGGATTACAGGCTTACGCTTATCTAAAGCTAGACAACGTGTTACATTTGTGTTTACATTCAAACACAAATGATTGTATAAATACGAATATATCTCTATCAAACTTTTGATGACATTAGATGATGACAGATTAGTATAATTGTAGGTCTATTTCGTAAGAACTTTTATGTAATACTAGCTTGATTCCCCATACAAACTTTCATTTCCATTTTCACCCCCTTAAGGCATGATTTCCGGGATAAAAAGTATCCTATGTCCTTCCCAGGGTCTCAAACTATCGTCTTACCAAATTTCATCTAATTCGATTTAGTAGATCCAGAGATTACCCCCTACAACGTCACAAACTCACAGTCTCACAAACTTAATATTAGTATAGATAGTATACATAAAATATATATGAATATTTAATAAAGATACTTTAAAAAATTTGAATTACAAAATATTCCTGCTTTTACGTACACATTATAATAAATTTATAAGATTATTACCTATTTGTCTAGGTTTAATGAAGTAATGATAATGATCATGATAAGGAATACGTGATATTAGATTATCTACACGAAATGTTTATACGTGAAAATTTAAAAAAATATATGTAACTATAAATTACTAGGTATTTACTCAATGTAATAATATACAATACATCTATACATATAATAAAATTGTAACTAAGCCGAATCTGTACATTAAATATTTTTTGGAAAATCTTATTGAAATAACCATTATTATCGATACAGAGACCGAATCTATAGTTTTTAGAATTTTTGTCAGTCTGTCTGTCACCGTATCACAGACAAACCACTGGAGGGATTTTGATGAAATTTGGTATGGTGATAGCTGGTTATCTGGGTCAACATATAGGATACTTTTTACCGCGGGAAAATCTCTCGTTTCAGAGAATAAATACAAAAACTGCAATGTAAGAGTATACTAATATGTAAAAACTAAGAATTTGGTTTTTTGTCATCTGAACGCGAGCGGAGCCGCGGGCAATGTAAGTTAGTATATAAATTTCTTAAATCTTTGAGAAATAACTGAAGATATATAAGGAAGTTTTATTTGATGCGTAAGGTTTATATCTATCTGAAATCAGTAAGGATTTATGAGCAAAAAGGGATTCTCAGCTTGATAAGGTCAGATGTTAGTGTCAAAGAAAGATTTTCTCGTGCCAACTGTAGCCTTTCGAGATAATTTTTATCCCATCAAAAACATTCTGTAAAAATATTGCAAGTCTCGCAACGCATTTCTTCTACCTCAAAAAGCTATGAGATGTAATGTAAAACCAAGTCGGTTAATTTATTCATTACCTATCTATGAAAGCAACTATCCGACAACTTTGTCATAAATCGTTACCGAATTAGTTAAGTTACAACATTTTATAGTGACCGTATTAATATTAGATATATTTATTTCTTTAATTAATAGAATGACTTGGCCATCGCACGGAAACATAATCACATAAGAGTCTACAACTTTAAATAGCCCTAATTAAACATATCATGACCGAGGTGGACGGACGACTTGGTCAAAGTCGCTGGAGCCCACTAGATGCGGATGGCACAAGACTGGTTGTCGTGGAACTTTTTGGGAGAGGCCTATGTCCAGCTGTGTGTGTGTTTGGGCTGAGATGAACTGAACATAGCACTAGCGGGTCAAATTTATGCATACACTAACATAAATAATGCACTCAGAACGCTAATTTTAGGTAAATTTTGTTATTTGTAGATTCTATTATCATGTGCGATGGCCAAGTCATTCTATTAATTAAAGAAATAAATATATCTAATATTAATACGGTCACTATAAAATGTTGTAACTTAACTAATTCGGTAACGATTTATGACAAAGTTGTCGGATAGTTGCTTTCATAGATAGGTAATGAATAAATTAACCGACTTGGTTTTACATTACATCTCATAGCTTTTTGAGGTAGAAGAAATGCGTTGCGAGACTTGCAATATTTTTACAGAATGTTTTTTGATGGGATCTCATTTCTTTTTGTAAATATTTCTTCTTTTTCTGTTTTCTTGTACTATTTCTTGTGTGTCAGCTAAGGACTTTTTAAAAGCCCACTCCTTGTCTCTGTGGGCTTTTTTCAGAGGCTTTGATATAGGTAACAAATTTTGACAAGTCTGGATGATAAAAAATCTAAGTCTATTGTATTGGGAAATTACGGACTCCTGGACTTTAAATACTACTATCTTATGCATTAAGAATAAATATGTATAGTTAATTTAACGAATATTTAAATTTCATTGTTGACCCTAAATACCTACCCCGATACTGATATTCGACTTACATAAGTTTAATAAGATGTATAGATTTATGTGTCTATCTGCAGCATCGTAGTTAAATCCCGAAAGTTGTATTCCATTCCATTTTAAAAGTAATTTTCGAAGAGATTGATATTTCATGACCTCTATATTCCATGTTCTAATAGGTGGGCACAGTTACGGCAATGAAATGAGATGTTGAGAAGGTTTTCTAATTCATATCAACATCATACTTTGTAAAAGAAAATGTACGATCTTTGTTTCAAAATTAAGTAATCGTCAAGTTGTTTCTTAATTAGGTATATATTTTAATCAATTCATTATAAATAACAGTAATCGAATATTAGTAGGTATAAACTATACACGCTTCACATTACATTTATGTACCCATTTGTATATGCATAAAAATGTATACAGCTACTAAAAAAGCTTAAAATATTATTTTCGCGTTTAAAAATACTTTTCTAATACATATAATTGCAAATATAAACATTAATAAATAGACCAATCGAAATTAGGTTAGTAATTACGAGGGAACATAGGATCGGACGTACAAACATACATACCTACAGGTAAAACACTAACCTAACCCCCTTTTACAGTGCAACTATTGTATAATTAATTTACCATTAATTATAAATTTTATAAGAATATATAAATAAAAGTAAGATATCGGGAAATGAAAAAATAATATTTAATTTAAATAATGTAAGGAAAAAATAGTGTATTTTTAATTAAAATATTTTATGATTTTTAAACGAAATTTATATTTAACATAACGGCACAAATTAAGGCAAGCTATGATGAAGTTTATTTATATTATGTGCTATTTTATTGTGACCTATTATTTAAAAAAATACCTAAACCTTCTAGCGTTCCTTGACGTCGTTAAAGTGGAGAAATTGACTAACAAATTAAATACTTAGTGATAACAAACGGAACTCTGAGAGAGATATATTTTAAGTTGGATATTTAAGTTAATAAAATAATATATGAGTTATTCCTGTGTTTTTTTAACATGACTAAACTAAATATTGATAAATACATATTGTATGTATTAGTCAAGTAGAAGACAAACTAACGCTCCGAGGGCTCTGTACTTTTTTTTTATAGTTGGGAAATCCTATTACGGATACCACCCGAATTCCCCCGGGCGACTCTCGCTACGGAACACACGAGTGTTCGATTACTTGTATATTTTTTTTTATATTTAAGATCTTTTATACATATAAGTTTTAATTTATATATTAAATATATTATTTCTTAAAACTCTTTACAATATTGATAATTACATTTTAGTCGTCGCTAACACTTACAGTATATCCACTATTTACCCTGCTATACATTTGGGTAGTTTAAGTGACGAAAAATGATATGTATGAACTGCAAAAATAACTTTGTAATCCCATATATCGCATATCTATTTGTATAGGAATACAAAGTTACTTATGCAGTTTGTATATCTCGAAAACAGGATTGAAATTGCATGATGTTTGAGTTTTTCCTTCCGTTATAGGCTAAACACTAATTGTGTTCAAAATTTGAAGCTCCTATGTCTGCTAGAAGTACCTTAGAATTTTGATGATCGGTGAGTGAGTGAGTGAGTGTGTGCGTGACGATATTAACGAATTTTGATCTGCAACAGTTCTTAAACTACAGGTTCAAATTGAATGTAATTTGGAAATATGCCTAGTTTTATTATGTTCTTTTAGTCACTGAAAATTCAGGCTTCTAGCTTTATCCATAACGAAGTTATGGGGGGGTGGAAAATGCTCTGAATCGCTTCGAGAAAAGGATGGTACTGTCGTGCCCTTTTTTGCTCGACTTGGCGGGGGCACTCCGTGCCCCCCGATTAGAATTTTTATATAATAAAACTGTAACGCGGTGGCAATTCTGTGTTAAATATTTATGAAAGATGTCAGTGAGAAATATTTGTAATTTAAGTAACTAAATAAATAAGGTAGGTCACTTGCTTTTGAAATTGTACATCTATTTTATCTGTTTATGGTATTACTGAATACATTAAAGAGGTTTCAATGGTGTAAGAAAATCAAAAAGGAAAAGGAAACACAAGGTTTTTTTGTAATTACTTGACATAATAAATTTGGATATCATTATTAACACAGACTAAAGTATTATGTAGAGGGAGCCAGACAAAAAATGTAAAAGTCAAAAATAGTAGCGTGATTTGCTGTTTATAGTACTATAGGTTTTGCCATAGGGTCGTTTATTTTCTTTAAAGAATTTAAACAACATAGCATAGATTTTTTAATTTTTCTCTTTATAATAATAAAATCCCTTAGCTAGCTTTTATTTATTAACTTATCACTCAGTATAAAAATTGACATTTGTATACTATTCTAAAACATTATGTATAATTTTAAAACAATATTGTTTGTAATTAATAATATTTTTGGCTTCATTTTACTTATTTCTTTCTTAGTTATATGACACTCTATGTTTTTCCTTAGTCTGACAGCTTCATTATTGTATTGTGGAAGCTAATATTAACAACTTACCATCCAATATCTCTTTCGTAATTGTGGCCACTGATCCACAATGGCTGTATTAATAGCCTCTATCCCAGCAAATTGACTGCCCAAACCCAGTATGAAAAGCATGAAGAAGAACAGGATAGACCAAAGTTGAGGTATCGGCATTTGAAGGATAGCTTCTGGATATGCGACAAATGCTAATCCAGGGCCTTGCTCAGCTACATCTGTCAAATAAATATACGTGTTATATTAGTCTATATTTTTTTATTTAATTTATTTGTATATTTAATAAGGCTTACGAACTAGAGTACATACATACAAAATATCATTAACCAATTTATTTTTTGTATATTACTCTAAATTAAAGGCAATATTGGTAATAGGTATTGACCATTTTTACCATACTGTACCATTACCATTACCATAGGTATTATTATACATTTTTTGACCACCGACGCAAAAACGATGGGGTGTTATAAATTTTACGTGTCTGTGCTTGTGTATGTATGTGGCATCGTAACTCCCGAACGGATGAACCGATTTTGATTTTGTTTTTTTTTGTTTGAAAGGTGAATTAGTCGGGAGTGTTTTAAGTATGTTTGATGAAAATCGGTCCAAGATGGCCGACACCACAAAATGAAGGATTACATATTTTTTCACAGCTTTCTCAATATGGGTATCAAATGAAAGGGCTTGACTAGTAGAATACTATATGCTATGAGAAAATTTCAAATCCAAGATGGCCGCCACCACAAAATAGCGAGTTACATATCGGGAGTTTTAAAATTTTTAATTGAATTTTTTGTTGTATATTACTCTAAATCAATTTTCATAATATATGTACAAAATAGTTCTAGTACATATTCAAAATAGTTTTGTTCCCGGGGATCTACTTCGAATCTTTTAGACATTGCTAAAAGTATAGTTTATTAAAAAATTTCATATCCTTTTTTATAGTTCTACATTAAATTATACACTAAATATTTTTTATAGTGCTATATACAACGTGGTTTTTCTCATGTCCCTGTAATCCATATGTAACAATTTTCACAATTTAAATGAATAACTTCATTAGATAAGCTTTATCTTATCGTAATTTGCTTATGTAATTGAAATTGATTGATTTACTTATAATTGCTAATATTATTACATTTATGATGATATTTTGAATTTTCTCTTAAAATCTGGCACATAAAATTTTCATATTCATGGTATATATTGTCACAGTTTAGAGGAAAGCTGTACAAAAATAACGTTATGATGTTGCATCGAGTGCTAAAACAACAAAAGATAGCAGTTCATATTATAATATAGTGATAAAATCCATAATGCTTGATATAACATGGTTGATATAACTAACAATAACACTGTAATCAAGAAACAGAACCAATAACACGATAAAGTTAATAAAAAACGTTTTTACTTAAGAGCAAACATGATCGAGTCATTACATACTGCGTATATTTATACATTTAGCAATGTCTAAAAGATTCGAAATAAGATCCCGGGATCAAAACTATTTTGTACATATCTTATGAAAATTGATTTAGAGTAATATACTACAAAAAATTAAATTAAAAATTTTAAAAATTCCTGACATGTAATTCGCCATTTTGTGGTGGCGGTCATCTTGGATTTGAAATTTATCATAGCGTATAGTATTCTACTAGTCAAGCCCTTTCACTTGATACGCATATTCAGGGAGTTGTGAATAAATATATTGAAAATATTTTAGGTATGTTAAAAAATAACTTAAGTACCGCCCATAAGCATTACATTGTTTAGGAAAATAAGATAGCTATTATCAAATAAAAAAGAAATAGCGCTTAAAATAAAATTTGAAATAAAATATTCTATGAAAGAGCTAGGAATATAATTTGAAAAAAAAAATGGAAAAGTTGGTGGTGGAAATTTACACCATAATGGCATAGGCTAAAATATAAAACTTCAAAATAAACTAGATAAGTCTCTTAAATTACATTATATATTATAATCATCAATCATCTTGTGCTTGCGGCTCGGCACCTGCGTATATATTCATTAGGTTCACGATAACTAAGTATGATTTGTATAAGCCATATATATAATACTAGCGACTGAACCTCGCTTCGCTCGGGTTCGTCCCTAGCTTGCTTCCCAATACAAACTGCATTCCCATTTTCACCCCCTTGAAGGATGGTTTCCGGGATAAAAAATATCCTATGTCCTACCCAGGGTCTCAAACTATTTTCTTACCAAAATTTCATCTAAATCAGTTCAGTAGATCCAGAGAGTAGCCCCTCCAACCTTACCAACTTACAAACTTTACCTCTTGATAATATAATTAGTAGAAGAAGTGTTAGTATTAGTGCTAGTATTAGTATAGATGTAGGTAGTCCTCACTACATGACTCACATATATAACAAATTTGCTCAAAGACTATTTTTTTGATTTATTCAAGATAATATCTTTCAGGTCGGTGATTTTAGGTATAAAATAAACTTTATAATATAAAATTATTATTTTTTATAATAATATTATACATATAATAAAATTCTGATTCAAATCTGTACATAAAATATTTTTTGGAAAATCTTATTGGTAATAGTTATTATTATCGATTTAGAGGCCGAATCTTAATTTAAAAAAGTTTTTAGTTTTTTTCTGTCTCTCCGTCTATCTATCTGGGAACGCATACCGAGAAAACCACTGGACAGATTTCATGAAATTTGGTATGATGATAGCTGGCTATTCCCGTCAACATATAGGATACTTTTTACTGCGGGAAAATATTTCATCTGTGAGAAATCGGTAATAACCGTTAAAACCGTAGGGACCTACCCGAGCAGAGCGAGGGCATGTCCCTAGTTTATAATATAAAATTCACAATTTAATATATCACATTTATCAAATGGTTCGTTTTTTTGACATATTATCAAAAATCTTAAAATTTATTTTAGCTAAATGGATAGCATTATTAAAATATCATTTAATGCACTAAAATATTTTGATAACACTCTAATTTACAATATATCAACATGATAACTAAGTTGAAGAAAAATAGGTGAAATCAAATAAAATGCTACAACAGCGTAAGTACAGACTATATCAGAGTTAAAATATTGAACGATTCTCAATAAGCACTCAGACTATTCGCAAATAGTGTTGTTTTATAAAACAAGTGGTGTTGTATGCGGTATAAGTTCGTTTTGTAGTTTTTGCTCGCGGCTACCATCGATACGTACAGATTAATCAACTTAGGCAGGTCAAAATGTCACGCTGGTTTTGCCTTTTTAATACCGGATTTCTCACAGTAAGGTTTTTGTAAGACACTAGCGACTCACGCTCGCTTCGCTCGGGTTCGTCCCAAATTTAATAAATAATTTAACGTTTAGTATCGATTTCTCAGAGATGAGATATTTTCCTGCAGTAAAAAGTATTCATATGTACACCCGGATAATTAGATACCATCATACTTAATTTCATCAAAATCCCTCCAGTGGTTTTTCCGTGATGCGGTAACAGACAGACAGACAAAAAATCTAAAAAGTATAGATTCGGCCTCTGTATCGATAATAATGACTATTTCAATAAGACTTTCCAAAAAATATTTTATGTACATATTCGTCTTAGTTAGAATTGTATTATATGTATAGATTACCGACTTTTTTAAACGTTTGGAAATGCATTTACGCGTACAACCTGTACACATACAGGTGGTCATATGGGACTCACTGGCTAGTAAAGCCACCACTTAAACCCATCCTAGGATCGCTTACGTACTTAACCACGATGCCCCAATGGTAGAAGCAGACCACGATAATCAAGGGGTTGCTCCCATGGTCCACTCTGCTATCAGAGAAGTATCAAGATATGTACAAACATACACGTTAATGTATTGATATTTGTATGTATTCATATATATAAAAATCTCGTGCGCCTCATATTATAATATGTATGTATTTAAAGTTATATATGTGTAGTGTATTAACTATCTGGTATCCATAACACAAGCCTCGTAGCTTACCATGGAACTAGATGGCGCTGTGTCTTAATGTCCAAACATATTTATTATTTATTATTATTATTATAATGATTATAGGAATGTTTCAGAAACCTATAGGTTTGTTCCTACACTTAATAATTGGCTATAACAACACAATTGCATGGATTGCTTAGAAATTATTACATCGAGAAACAAAAATATATTTATTTTTATGTAAAAAGATGTTCGTTTGATGTTTATGTAACTGACTCTATATAAGATATATTTTTTAACCCAAAAAAGGAAAATGATATTTTATAAATATATAGTTAAGGTAGACATTAAAGTTTGAACCAACCATTTTGTTTTGAGCGGAAAAGCTTTAACTATTAATACGTAGAAACGACTTGATGGATTTTGAAGTAAACTACTCGTAGCATAGTTATTGCTGAATATTCAGTTTCATGTTTAGAATACCTTTTATTCCAAGAAACAAAAGATAGGTCTTATAGAGTAGCGATTGAAACAATGAAATTTTCATTTAATAAAGTAGCAATCTAACAAAATAAATCGACAAATATAGATATTTTCAACCGATTTTCTAAAAGGAGGATTCGTTCGTCTGTATGTATGTTCACCACAATGTTCACATTTCTGGGAAACGGCTTAAGTTTTTACTGATTTTCTCAGTCTATGTCAAAAAAAATGTATAAGACCATCTCGGGATCTACTATAATAGAATACAATTAAACATAAATAAATAAATATGTCGGGACAATAACACACAGCACCATCTAGTTCCATGGTAAGATAGAGGCTTGTGTTATGGATACTAGATATTTCATACACTTCACATATATAACTTTAAATACACACATATTATAAAATATATAAATGCCCATGACTGGAGTACAAATATTCGTGCTCATCACACAAATGAATTCCCCTCGAATGACTCGAACCGGCGACCGCTGGCACAGCAAGTAGGGTGACTACAAACTGAGCCAAGCGTATCGTCAAAAAACATATGAACAAACTATGGCATATATAAGGAGCAATAGTTATTTATGAAAGCATCTATAGTAAGTACATAGTATTGCGGGTTTCAATATATTTACATAATATTAATCTCCTTTTCACGTCCTGTTGTGTTCAATAACGACCCATCAGTAAGTGGACGCAATTCTCGGAATTTGTTTTTTGAATAGACTGAAATAATGAGTGCTGTGAATGTTTTAAAGGTTTCGGTGTTGACTGTTATCAATCAACCTTTAGATATTAATATACAATGAGTCGCTGTTTTTTAACCGATTCCCAAAAAGAAGGGAACTATATGTATCGGTCGGTACTTTTACATAATGTATTTATCTATATTATATCTTTTCCATAAAGTATCCAGTCATGGGCATTTATATATTTTATATAATAATGCAAAATGTAAAAAAACGTTGTTTTTCGGCCACTAAAACTAAGTACTGAAGAAGACGTGCTCGATAAAATGCTACAATTGGTACAAAAATATAAAAAATAAATATTGTAAGCCATGTAGATACTTAAATATTTTATAGTGGAATTAATATAATAAAAAAGTGTGTATTATGTATGTTATAAATATACCTATATTTAAAAACATGTACTTGTAGTACTTATATATTTGCTTAAAGTACGTATATATGTCAGCACCTGAGTTTTTTTATCTCTATTTCGATTATATTACTTAAATATTACACTAACCTTCGCTACGCTCGAGTTCGTCCCTACTTATGTTTTAAGGTTTAGAAGGTATAGATGTCTCAGAAATTAGATATTTTCCCGCAGTAAAAAGTATCCTATATACTGACCCGGATAACCAGCTATCATTATATCAAATTTCGTGAAAATCCCTCCAGTAGTTTTTCCGTGATGCGGTCACAGATAGACAGACAAAAATTCTAAAAACTATAGATTCGGCCTCTGTATCGATAATAATAGCTATTTCAATAAGATTTTCTAAAAAAATATTTAACGTACAGATTCGCATCGGTTAGAATTTTATTATATGTATAGATATAATGTCGATATTAATCGATAATATGTACATAATATACACACAACGATACGTGTGACGCAGTTAGAAACTGTTTGATTACTTGTATAATAACGATCACTATCGCAGTAAATACATTATTAAAAAAAAAAATCTTATATATAAAATATTTTAAAGAACAACTAAAATAGAATCATGAAACATGATTACTATAGATTTGAAAAGCAAATTCAATTTTTTTGATCTACATTTACTCTGTACGTTGTTTAACATACATAATACTGTATATTATATTGAAACATTTTTGTGACATATCCATGAAAAGTTTGCTTTCAATCAAAATATTTGCGATACAATACGATGAAATAGCATACGTTTCAGTGTCAATAAGTTTTCATGGATTTTTTTTCGATTTATTTGGTTTTAGGGCTTATTTACAATAACGAAAAATGTGATTTTTGTAAAGCATCGGTATTTTTGTGGCCACCAGCTTGCCTGGTAGGTACGTCTATAAAAATAACCGAGATGTGTATATTATTATTTTTCTCGCCGTGAAAATTCATTATGTCGGCTGTCAGTGGGCAGGATACGTGAGACAGCAGTCTCAGTAGAAGCTTTTTTAAAGCACAGCGAAATGCTAACTTCTTGATATTGTGACGTTGTATTTAAAGTATGCGATAAATAAACACCAACTCCAATGAAATAAATATTATTTACACAAGTTTAATAAACGAAATAATAAAATTATATGACATATATTTAACTAAACACCCATGTTTTTTTTATTCAATCGGGCGAGGCAAACCGACTTATGAAACGACTAGCGTCTCACTCTCGCTTCTCTCGTGATCGTCCCTAGCTAAATTGATAGAATTTTTTTATTTATGAACTGATTAAAATAAAGCAAATACTAAATATTAAGTGAAGCTTACCACACTACATTAGTGAAAACCGCACCCAAATCGGTTAAGCCGTTTCTGGGATTAGCGCGCACAAATGCACAGACAAACAGACAAAAATCCTAAAAATCATTGTTTTCGGTTCTATTGCGTTTTATTAACGCCCCAAATAATAGTTTTTCATAAATATCTTCCACGTACAGATAGCGATTAGTTACAATTTTATTATAGATATGTATGGATTTGAGCTTTTCACCACAGCATAATTGCTTGCTCACACACTACAACACCCACAAAAGATCTGCTTTCTGTCGTGCTATAGTATATTACACTCTTTCTCCTTCTATGGTATATTTTTATGTAAGACTATACGTTTTAACGGTTAGCATAGATTTCTCAGAAATGAGATATTTTCCTGCAGTAAAAAGTATATGTTGACTCGGATAACCAGCTATCATCATACCAAATTTCATCAAAATCTGTCCAGTAGTTTTCTCGTGATGCGTTCCCAGACAGACAGGCAGACAGTCAAAAATTCTAATAACTATAGATTCGGACTCCGTATTGATAATAATGAGTATTTCAAAAAGATTTTCCAAAAAACTTTAATGTACAGATTCGACTCAGAATTTTATTAATGTGTAGTTTATAATCGGATGTATCATTATTTAAATTCACGAACATTTCATGCACCTATCGCTGCTTATATCTCTTTGTTAATGATTAGCCATTAGAAGTATTAAAACTTGTTAATTTATCTACATTTTATAGCTATGTAAAGAGTAAGGAATTTAAAAAAATCTGATGATATTTTTAATCGATATCGTTAGTAGATACTATATTCTTATCTATATACATAGGTATTATTACTATATAATAAAATTAAATATGTTGGGACATTAACACGTCTAGTTCCATGGGAAGCTACCAGGCCTGTGTTATGGATACCAGATAGTTTATACACTACACATATGTAACTTTAAATACATACATATTATAAATATAAACACCCATGACTGAAGTACAAACATTCGTTATCATCACACAAATGAATGCCCCCAGCTGGACTCGAACCCGCGACCGCTCGCACAGCAAGTAGGGTCACTACAAACTGAGCCAAACGTGTCGTCAGAAAGTAATGTGTACTTACCATCTATTTCGACTCCCATTTGATTGGCTTGAAAGCCGAGTACCGAAAAAATTGCCAAACCAGCGTATACAGATGTTAAAAAGTCCGCCATACTGACGAATACGGCATCAAAATGGCAATTATTGTAGAAGTTATTATATGAAGCCAACGTTACTAGGGATCCGCACGCAACGCCGAGTGAATAGAATATCTAAAGAAAAAACAGATAAAATAAAAAAAATATCAATTCGTTTCAATGAAAATCAGCAAATAAAGAGAAAGTCTCATGGAATATATGTATTTTGCAAGCATTATTTTTTATTTTTAACAAATCTATAACAAGAAATGTAGTTAAATATGAGTAATAATATTATGTGAGATTCATTTATCTATACGTATAATAAAATTGTAACTACGCCGAATCTGTACATTAAATATTTTTTGGAAAATCTTATTGAAATAAACATTATTATCGATACAGACGCCGAATCTATAGTTTTTAGAATTTTTGTTTGTCTGTCTGTCTGTTACCGCATCACAGAAAAACCACTGGAGGGATTTTGATGAAATTTGGTATGGTGATAGCTGGTTATCTGGGTCAACATATAGGATACTATTTACCGCGGGGAAATATCTCATTTCTGAGAAAAAATGTAAAAACTACAATGCAAGAGTATACTAATCTGTAAAACCTAAGAATTTGGTTTTTAGTCATCTGAACGCGGGCGGAGCCGCTGGCAATGCTAGTATTAGAATAAATAAAAAAAATTTAATATTACTCTTTTACTTCTAAATCAGCGCAAAGAAATGAAAAGAAAAAATATGAAACATGAGCTGCTAAAGTTATTTGCTAAAAACTTTTTAAAGTCGCTCAGTAGCTTAAGTGAAAAACTTCAAACCAAAAAACTTGGTGAAACTCTTATAAAGCAGCGTGAATTAATTTGAAACTTTTTATTAATCGCCTCACAATTTGTTCGAATTTTCCACTTAATTAGCCTTATGGTGTTTATTTATGTATTAGGCAAAAATAAAGGGGGAATAAGCTTTCGATAAATTTCGTCAAAGGATTTATGTTTGTCTCCAAACTTTAGTAACTTAATGAGTGACTGGATAGCTTTTGAGATGGAGTTTAACATTATTGTACGCATAATTGCACTACCATCGTTTCAGCCATTATAATACTTTATTAGAATAGAAAGTTTTGCACATTTTGGTTAATGGTTCAATAGATTTTTTTAGTTTCAATTTCAACTGTAGATATACTTTTTCTTTTATATGAATTAAGTCTAGTATCGGCTTTTTATGATTATTTGATTATTTAGTGTATGAAACAATATTTCACAATATATTAAAAAATATATATCTATCCCTAAGTGTCAAAATAATTTCATATTTTTTACTCATCTTTTTCTACTCTTTCCGTCAACAGATTTTCTTTTTTTTTGTTTAGTAGCTGTTGACGAGCTTTAGTGTTAGTTATATATATATATATTACATAAAAAACTTTAAAACAGTCAGTTTTTCTTTAATATAAATATGTAAATTCTATTCATTTATGTTTTTCTCAAATTTTCAATAATTATTATTGTCGAAATTCGACAGCTAAGCGAACACTAGTAAATATAAATGTACGATGATGTAACGTGCATTTTTTGCTTACAATCATTATGTAATAAAACAGATTGAATCCTACCCTTTGGGCGCCATCACCCAACCAATATTCCAAAAGGGGTATTAAATGGAAAATTGAATTGTAAAGATATACGAAGAATTAGCTGCTATATTTTTCTAAAAAGATTTTTACAGAAATTACTGTGTTATACATATACATATGAACATTCAACATATATGTATATAGTTTTTTATATGTGGTACATAGCGTGAATTTTCCTCGTGAACGCGGTTGGCGAGATCCCAAACTATACTTTATGGCAAAGTGCTAAAAGGAGTCTTGGGACCAATTTGTTAAACACTAAAACTGCATCATGAGATCATTTGTTTTATTAACTTTTGTATCATATAATACTTTCTTCTACGATTATTTTGGATTTTTTCGCGGATTTATTTTGACTTTTGACTCGCGATGTTTCGAATGCTTTCAGCAATCATGATCACGTTACAGACTAAGGTTGTATAGTAGTAATTTTTTTCTAAAAAATCTATATCTGAACATTATATTGTAGACTTTCGAAAAGATAGTTTCTTTCAATTGTATTATATGTTAAAGCGTTGACCGGAACGTGTGGGAAAAGAGGCCGTTGAAAGAAGCCTGTTAGAAGTATTCGAATAGCAACGCTCTCGCTAGTGAACGCTAATAATCTTAAGGCTGTAAAGACTATTGTTTGCACTATATTGTTTGTACAATTAAACTAATAAACAAGTAATAAATAAACCAATTTTTCAACATTATATATTAATATTATAATGCGGTAAACTTTGTAAGTTGTATTCAGGGGGGATATATCTCTAAAACTAATATACTGATTCTGAAAAAAAAATAAAGCTTTATTACCGCCGAGTGCTATAGGATATTTTTATTCCGATAAAATGTATTTACTGTCAGAAATCATAATATCTTTAATTGAAAAACCCGAGCACCCGAGCAACGCGAGGTTAAATCGCTAGTATATCATAATTCGTAAATTATCATAATTTAATCCTTATAAGCCAGCTACACTATCAACTATCCGCTGCTACTGTATTACAGGGTGCCGTTGTTTACAAAGAACAATGGACGGATTACTAAAGACTAAATAGAAAATTTGGATTTTGCTAACTACATTGAATTGTAAAGTTTACGCTTTATATTATTACTAGCAGAACCCTCGGCTTCGCTCGCGCTAAAACTACAAAAATCCCAAAAAATTCCAAAAAAGGTAGTTTCATACAAACTTTCATCCCATCCCATCATCATTCATATCATGTTTTATACGATGAATTTTGATAAATGCTAAAACACGTATTTATTTAATTTTATTGAAGACCATTAATACCAAGTTTCAAGTAATTCTGATCATAAATATTTTTTTGGATTGTATTGTAACGTATTTTCCCGTAAAAAACAAACAAACACACTTTAACATTTATAATATTAAGTATGGATAATATTTTTCAGAATTTCCTTACTTAAATTATAAACATCTAAATATTCGTTATATTTACCTGTGAAGCTGCATCACCCCAGACACGTGCTTCTAATAGTGTACTCCAATCAGGTAAGAGATAGAACAGAAGTCCTTCTCCTGCGCCTTCCAATGTGACTCCTCTAATTAAAAGCGCAGTCAACATCACGTAAGGAAATAGAGTAGTAAAGTACACTACTTTACCAGCTGACTGCACACCCTGTATATATTTAAGTAGTGGTTTTGTAAAAATAAATTGGATTTATCAAACATGTGTCAATTTAGTAAGGTTTTATGAGAATCTAAACTCTTCTGTGATAATATAGACAATTGCGCAGCCCATTGCAGCTTATTTTAGAGCCATTTGTAGCCGATGCTTTACAGTTATCACATTTTAACCGACCACCAAAAAGGGAGAGATTCTATGTTTGTCTGTACGTATCTTTTTTTATACTCTAGTGATAGGACGTAAGATCAATTTTCAGACAAAATAGGTTTGTACTAATTATTTACTTTATCTAATTATTTACTTTATTGAACGCCACAGTAATGAAATAAATATGATGGATAAATAGGATGAAATGAATAAAGTATCTAAAGTCAAATGTTTGCGCAAAAGGCGATCTTATCGCTAATTAGCGATTTCTTCCGGACAATCTTTGGGTGAGGAAATATGGAAGATTATACGGAAGATTCTAAAGAAGTGTCACTTCAAAAACTAAAATATGTAATTTTATATATTTTTTTATGCTTCGTATTAGTTGAGGGAAAGAGATTAGTAGGTCAAATATACTTATTCATAATTGAAAACCAATCTTTTGTTGTCAAAAAGCAATAAGCTTAAACAAATCATTAAGTGACTGCTGCGAATGCTTTAATACAGAAAGTGAAATGAAACTCGTTCAGCTATTTTCAATAAAACAAGTAGAAATATTTTACTTATATATAACTCAATTTCAATTGGGCACTTTTATTTCGATATATTTCAACCTTTAATTTGATCCTAACTTACCTTAATTACGCATAAGAATGCGACCACCCAGGAAAAGAAAAGACATCCAACTAAATGCCACTGCATGGTACCCCATTCTTCCCAAGTAGCGTCACCTTTTCCTAGCACACGCTCACTGAAATATTACATACAGATATTAGATACAGATATCTATACATATACCTAATAAAAATATTACTGAGTCGAATCTGTATATTAAATATTTTTGGAAAATCTTATTGAAATAGTCATTATTATCGATACAGAGGCAAAATATATAGCTTTTAAAAATTTTGTCTGTCTGTCTGTGTGGGAATGCGTCACGAGAAAACCATTGGACAGATTTTGATAGAACTTGGTATGATGATAGACGAAATTCTTAAAATAATGTACTTACTTAAAATATTCTTGAGTAGCCAATATTCTATTAACATTGGAATACCATGAAACAGTTTCTGTACCATTTAAACATGACTTTCCATCGTAGGGTTCAAGTCCTACACTTTGACATATATCGCCAATACTCATGCATCGTCGTAAGTAATATGTAAGGTCAGACGCATCTCCTGTATTATTTATTCTGCATTCTTTGTCATAAGCTCCGCTGTAACAAACTGAAATCACGTAATAACTTTTTACCCTGAATTAACATACCGTATTTCGCATATTGATCATATTTAGTATTTAATTCGACGACACGTTTGGCTCAGTTTATAGTGACCCTACTTGCTGTGCCGCCGGTCGCGGGTTCGAGTCCCGCTGAGGGCATTCACTTGTGTGATGATCATTAATGTTTGTACTCCAGTCTATTATTAGCTTATATTTATTGTATGTATGTATTTAAAGTTATATATTATGTATAGTGTGTCAACTACCTGGTAACCATAACACAAGCCTCGCATGGAACTAGATGGTGCTGTGTGTTAATGTCCCAACATAGCTATACATTTTTTTTTATTCGTACATTTTTTACTTTATTTTTATAAAGAAATTTATGTATTAAACTTGTTTTGGCTACGTGATATTTTGTAGAAATTATTTCTTTGTTTAAAACAGATTTTTGTGAGGCGATTCCAAGTGAACCGCAAGAAAATAATATTTATTTATTCAAGCTAAGCTGTGCGAAATGTATTTGAGTAAGATTTGTTCTTAAATTTGATTAAATAAGTTTTGTAATAAATATATAAAAAAATTAAAACTTTTATTTTTGTATGTTTGGAATAAAGACATATTATTTTATGTAAATTGTTATTTATTAAATATCGCTTGCTTTTCATATATTTATCCCATTTTATATAATATAAGTAAAAAAATTTTTTTATTGTTACACTTGAAATCACCATGTTTTTGTGTTTTGAGTTATCATCAATACCATATTAAAGATGGTAACGATTGATTGATGTGCTTGTTCTGCATAGTATATTATGGCATTGGGAATGCACACGAAAATGATATGAGTATAGTATCTCTGAAACTACTGATCCAATTCTAAAAATGTTCCACAGATTCCTATCTTACTAATATTATGAATGTAAAAGTTTAGATGGATGTTTGGATGTTTGTTACTCAATCACACCAGTAGGTACGGCTCAACAGATCTGGATAAAATTTGGCACTGAAATAGATTATAGCCCAGAATATACATAGGCTACTTTTTATCCCGGAAAAATTATGATTTCCGTGGGATAGATTTGTTTTTGTTCTTCTAGAGGCCAACTCGAGCGAAACGAGGTTGAGCCGCTAGATAAATAATAAGTCTGAAAAAAAAACAGACCGTTGAGTTGCTCTAGAGGTGTGCGCTGCCTTAACTATATAAAATAAAAAAGCAAGTCACTAGACAAACTAATATTGAATTATTTAAAACTTTTACCATGGCTTTTTCGATCCGTATTATTTTCAGTTTCTCAATTTTTGTTTCAGTAAAGATCTTAGCGTAAAAAACACGTATTTTAGACTCTTATCTTACCTACTGGTTAGTCGTTAAAAATTTACGACTCCAAAGTAAAGTTTAATGGCTAAAAGTAGGATCATATTACTTCTCTATGTATGAAAGAATTTAATATCTTCATTATAATTTCAAATGATCATATACATATATGTTTAAAATGAATATTTTAAGTGATCATAAACATCTAATACTCGTATTAAGTCTAAGCTATCTATACACAATACACATTATTTTACGTCATTTTTTAACCCACTTCAAAAAGGAGGAGGTTCTCAAATCGATTGGTATTTTTTATGTATGTACACCAATTACGCTGAGATTTATGATCCGATTTACGTGAATCTCTTTTAGTTTAATACGAAATAGTTGCCATTTGGTCCCAAAATATTTAACATAGTTTGGCCCAGTAGTTTTCATTTAAGCTTTCAGCTAACTATTACGGTTTCAAAGGTACCACCGTCAAGTTAGGCGATGGATGAACATGCAGTGTTGTAGTGAATGCCCAAGCGATCCTGCAACGCCCCATTGCACTGCGGCGACAGGTTCCGCTGTGGGTTTTAGTGAGTAGGAGTCTCACAGTACCCTAGCCATTGACGGTCGGTAGGGTCCCCATGCTGTGTTTCCCCAGCGTAAACAAAAAAAAAGGTGATGGATGAACATGCGAACGGGTAGCATGGCTTACTAATAGGATTCCTCATAACCCCTTTGGGAATACCCCTAGTAATAAATAATTAGGTCTCTGTTATACTGAAATATATACTTACATTCGCTATTATACCAGTTATCGCATGAACCCCATGCTAATTGGCCACCAATGGACATAAACGTATAAAAGGACGTCCATGCCACTATAACCATGTAGTATATCGATATTATACTGATAACTACTAGAGTACAGTATCCAACTCCACTGAAAAATGGACTTATTGCGCTAAATGCTTTTAATGGCCCCAATCTTGAGTACTGCCCAACATATAATTCAAGAAAGAAAAGCGGCAGACCAATTAGCATAAGCATCAGAAAAAATGGAATCAAAAATGCACCTGTAACAAAAGTTAATCATATATTGTACATATATTTAAAAAAATAGATACATGAAAAACATATAAATACATACATACATACATACATATATACATATGTATTTAATTGAACTTAACTAGATTTTTTATTTAAACCCTTAGTTACTAAGAGAAACTAACGGTAATATAATTACTACGTATGGGTCAAGTGTAATTGTATGACTATAAAAAATCACCAAAATGTAAAATATTACCAAAGAGACAGAAGTGTCTTATACGAGTATAACTCTAAGCTGCATTTACATGAAATGTTTAAAGAAGAAAAGAAAAGAGAAGTTATACTTCTTTGGCGTAACAGAACAAAAATAGCTAATCATTCCGTATGTCACAACTCTCTTTTGTAAAAGGAATGCAGCTAACTTCATCCTGTCGCTTTTTAGCTGTCGGTGTGCGCGCGCATCGTAAAAATTTTACTCTTTTATTTTTTTCTAAATGCGCCCAAAGAAGTATAAGTTCAAAAACATTCAGTGCACAACTTTGTTTATATTATTTTATAGCATTTAAGGTCAATTTCAGACAAAATTATATATATTACTAGCGACTCACCCTCGCTTCGCTCGGGTTCGTCTCTAGGTACGTTTTAATTTTTTTTTATGGAACCCTAATTATTTTTAAAAAATAAAAGTAGCCTTTTTTTATTTATCTGTATAGATAAATAACGTAATATTATTCAATTCAAAGACCAACAAATAATAATCTTATCAAATAATAAATATTTAAGTTATTCAGGAAATAAGTATAGTTTTGTATAAAACTATTATTTGAACACAAAATCCACATAAAGCTAAGAAAAATGAGCTTTGTAATGCGTATATTGCATTATTGCGTCTTCTTTGTCGCGTCCGAGAGCAAATTTTGTTATCTTTTAAAGGAAATGTGGAGAAATATTTTGTTACAAAATTCTTTCAAAGGCTTAGCTTTGTGGAGCGTTCCTTGTAATCTATGCCTTAGTAGTGATGTTCTAGCTATATACCGTATGGTGTACCGCGTATATAATATTATAGGGCAGCATCCAATTTGTCAATTATTACGTAGTGTCAGAAATAATAGTTACAATTTCCTTATCATGGGTGTAAAGTTAGTTCGTAGGATGTTTGTTACGTAAAAACGCCTAAATTTGCAACGGATTGCTTAGATACACCTGTAACATAACAAAAACGTGTAACCAGCGTAAAGCCTGAAGTTGCAAGCGATAAAATATGGTACTGGTCACCCGCGTTTGAGACGCGCTTTTTGTGCGTTTGTGTCGGTACAATCTCAAATAATCTGCATTTTTATGTTAATTATCGATAGAGCTTGAGTACAGGCCCTTAGTCTATATAAATAAATGTTACTAAACGCGAAACTCGAGGACGGCTCAACCAATTCAGCTAATTTTTTTTCGTATGTTTCTTTATGGTGCGCGGAAATTTTTAATAAAGAGAATAAATATAAATTAAGATAAATATATGTATATAAAACAAAGTCGTGTTAGTTACACCATTTATAACTCAAGAACCGCTGGACCAATTTTTATGATATTTGATTTTTTGAATTTCTAGTCCGAAGTAGGATAATAAGTATTAAAATATCATAATAATTAAAGGAAAAAAAAAAAAAATTATATGGATAACGCTGGCTAATAACTATTTATATCTATTTAAAACGTACCTAGCGACGAACCCGAGCAAAGCGAGGGTGAGCCGCTAGTAATGTTAATATTAGTAAAGAGCAAGTATAAGCTCAATATATCATTTTGCAATTTCCGCTAATATTATTGAAAAATGAAGAGCGGCGGTCTATTTATGCTGTATACCTAGTTTAAATATATGTACTATCCGTGCCGTTGAAAAAGAGAACAGTATATGTGTAATAAGATATGGGAATTTTCTGTCACAATATTTTGATCTATAACTATGTATATAACAAATAGTTATAGAAGTTAGTTCAAGAAAGTAAAGAGCTTTTATGTGAAAGCTTATGTAAGATAGTTAGAAAATTCCGAACTTACAGATACCTAATATTATAGATAAAATTTAGTATATCAAGGGAACATACCGCCACCGTTCCTATAGCAGAGATAAGGGAATCGCCACACATTCCCCAAACCGACGGCGTATCCTAGACATGCCAATATGAATTCCAGCGGTCGCCCCCATGCTGCTCTTTCCACAGCATCTTCTGAAGTATTAACATTTCCGTTAGCTGGCAGATTGCTCTTGTTCACCTGAAAAAAAAAACTATATATAAACAGGGAAAGACAGTAAGTTCAGCACATTTCTCAAGTCTGTTTTCTATTGTTTGTTAACCGTTTTCTTTTTTTGTTTGTTTAGTTTTAATAATTCACGAGCTTTAGTGATTTTATATAGATAGATGAATTCTATTCATATACCTATGTTTTTATTAAATTTTCAATGAAAATTATAGTCGAATTTGGAGCACTGGGCAAACAATAGTATAATATTTAAAAACATATTATTAGTAGGTATACTTTTCATAACGTAATTAAATAAGTGAATTTTAACGTACACCAAAATTATAAATTACTTTTGCTAATCTTAATATTAGTGAACTAATTAAGTAAAATTTTTCAGCAGATTTTTATATAAGGTGAGGTGTGCCGTATCAATTTTTTTTTATTATGGTATTCAGTGACAAACGAGCAGACAGCCCACCTAATGGAAAGCAGTACCTGTCGCCCATAACACCTACGGTTTGAATGCACTTAGGTTTTATGTTACAAAAATGCAGAATCGCGGGTGCATTGTCACTGTGAGGACTAAGATGATGTGCCTCTTGCCTGTAATTGCGCTGGCTACCTTATCCTTCAAACCGGAACACAACAATGTAATCATTGTTGCTTGGCGGGAGAAATAGATAACCGGGGTTGTACCCATCCAGTCGGACTCCTCGAGCTATACCTTTTGTGAAAGCCTCAAAACTACTAACGACGTAGATAGATAATAGCAAAAAATAGAAAAAAAAAAACAAAACGATCAGAGCCACGGGTAAATGCTAGTAATTTAAAATTAAAAATTAATATATTATTTTTATATAAAAATGTAATATAAGTTTAAAAATTATTTATTATCGATTACTTGTGGAATATTTAAGGTATAGATACAATGTAAGTCCTGTAAATATTATATATGTTATGTAACAGGCTTAATTTGTGTACATACTAATTTGTTGTTTCTAACTTGTGCTTACTTAAAATTAATATATAAAAAAGATATTGATTGAGTTCATGATTGATATACCTAATATGTATACTGTTTTAATTAATTTGATAGAATCTTATCTACAATATTATTATAACCCCTCATTCCCCTCCCTTACTACGTTGCGGGGCGGCAACGATTAAACGTATAATTTTATTTTTTATTGTATACTCCACTAAAGGCATGCTATACTTTAAAGCGAACTAGCGATTTATCCCCGCTTCGAGTGTGTTCCTCGGTGCTTAACAGTAGTGTTAAAAATTCAAAATAGATTGTATATATTTAAAAAAAGTTGTATTTTAAAAACTAAAAAAAAAACGTAAAAAAATATAGAAATAATATAAAATTGTCATTGATATAGGAAATGTGAGACGAGTAGTTAATTTAAAGAAATATATATTATTATACCAGAATAAGTTTTTATTTAATTACTATTTTAGAACAAGTAACCTATGTGTTGTTCCACGTTATAGCCTATCTGTGTATTAAGTTTCATCTAAATCTATCAAGCCATTTTAGTGTGAAAACATTACAAACATACATACATACACACACACACACACACACCCACACACACACACACAGTGTAGTAGAATAGCCTGATTCGGGCTGTTCATTATATTGATTTCCGGGATAAAAGTATCCTATGTCCTTCCCAGGGTCTCAAACTATCTTCTTACCAAATTTCATCTAAATCGGTTCAGTAGATCTAGAGATTACCCCCTACAACCTCACAAACTCACAATTTACAAACTTTACCTCTTTATAATATTAGCATAGATGAGGAAAACACATTCTGACCTGTCTATAATATTATTATCTTATATCATGTCATTTCCATACCTATTCCAGTTAACTGTTTCCAAACCAATGTTGTTGAAGTTACCAAAGATATAGATATTAAAAGAGATTTGCACTTGCTTAAGAAGTTCTTGGTACACAATAAGGGAGTGCTTGCGAACTTATTCCTTTCAAACAACTGAATAATTATTCTAATTTAAATGCAAATTTGTCTTCAATATGGATTCAATAGAAACGCTAAGTTCGATTCGCTTTTCCATTACTCAAATAATATTGTGCAGAATCTACTAAAACATAAAGAAATGGAGACCAACTCAGTTATACTTCTCAGGTGTTTATTATACAGACTAGCATTGTCCGCGGCTCCGCCCGCGTTCAGATGACCAAAAACCAATTTCTTAGGTTTTAAATATTAGTATACTCTTACAATGCAGGTTTTGTATTTTTTCTCAGAAATGAGATATTTTCCCGTGGTAAAAAGTATATCCCTATATCCCGAACCGGACCCGGATAACCAGCTATCATCGTGCCAAATTTCATCAAAATCCCTCCAGTGGTTTTTCCGTGATGTGACAGACAAAAATTCTAAAAACTAGATTCGGACTCTGTATCGATAATAATGTCTATTTCAATAAGATTTTCCAAAAAATATTTAATGTACAGATTCGGCTTTGTTACAATTTTATTATATGTATAGATTATATATGTATTTGTAAATATTTATGTATTCAGACCTTTTTAACATTCCATTGCTGGGCATGGACCTCCCAATACAAGGATCGCGCCATAGTCCACCACCGTGGCCAAGTGCGGGTTGGCGGACTTGACATGTCTTTCGAAAATTGGCTATGTTCTCTTAGACATACATTTTTCCTTCCTTTATTACGCAGAGTATTCGATTAAAATGTCTGATGTAGTATTAAATAGGTGGCTTCTGGTAATTAAATTATTAATATTATCAATTAATCAATCAAAATATACTTTATTCGATAAGACTTACAAGTACTTTCAAATACATTGTCTGAACTAGCAGATGTTATGTTATCTTGAATATAAAATCGATAAATAGTATAAAATTATGTCAAAATTCGCTTCTGTTTGTTTATACGCTTATTTCTTTTTATATCCGCAAAGGATTTAATATGATGTCACTAACATTTACAGAATTTCTAAGGCAAGTGTTGATTATTATTTATATTTTTTGAGAGTTCAGGGGCTCAAAGGAGTCTGGTACTTCAGAAGGCTTGTGTGGAGATATAGGTCCAATAGGTACATGCCTTAAGAGATTTAAATTTGTTTAATGTAGTGTATCAGTCGAGAACCCTTTCTGAGTAACCCATTAGGAATTTCTAAATATAGTTACCGGATAATGAGTAGGATAGATAAAGCTATGAAATAAACTCTGGAAGTGCTAAAACTGGACTATTGGACTTATCCAACGAGTGAGTCCCATATAACCACCTGTATGTAGGTATACACTATACAGGTTGTATGCATAAATGGATTTCCCAACATTAAAAAAAAGGCTATTAGCCGCTTCCGCTTTCATACAGACATTCACACATATAATATACATACATATATATCTAATACACTATTAACTATACCTTATAAGGGAATTGAACCCGCATTTACGTTATCATACATTCATTTCCTTATATGAATTAAAATTTATAATACTTATCGTACCATAAATCAATTTATGCTATTCTGCTAATCTTTACGAAATTATATATATCGCGCATGCGCATACTGTAATAGATAAACTATTTTAACTATACTTTATCTTGTTCAGATTATAGCTGTTTGGAAATTGTTAATAGCTTTTATCTATATGGAATAAAATAATTGTAAAGAAAACCAATCAAAATAATTAGTGAAAAATATTCTAATAGCTCATATTCTAGGCACTTATCATTGAACAGTTCTACACTTAGAAAAATATTATAAGGAAATCTGCATATCTGAGAGACTTAACGAGTTTTCGTAAGACATGTGATCTGTGAAGTCCGCAAATCTGTACTTGGGCAGCGTCGTGGACCTTTACTGATGGGTGGCCTGTGTCTAGTAGTAGGACGTTAAAAAGGACTGAATACCATTTTCTACTGTCTGAATATCATTAGATCATTTGGATATTTTATATAGAGTATAGTTATCCGAATTAGGCACACTATTAAATTGATACAAAGATCAGAAGTCGATTGAAATTAATTATGTAATTTTTTTACGTACAATTATATTCAAATATAATAAAAAATACTAGTTTATATGTGATTTCAAGTTATATAAAAAATTTAAATTGAATTATTACGTACACAGTATTGAGTAAAGATTAAATAATAGAGGAAAATTAAAATATTGGTATTGAAAATAATATTTATTCATAGTTTTATTTAAAACATAAATAATACAATAAAATAAAATTGAGCTGCTTAATATAAAACAAAGTAGAAAAATAACACATATTGACCACCGGAGTAAGCTTTTAACTCTTGGAATTTATATTTTGCATACATTTAAAATACGAAAATCGTTAAAATATGGCATCTAGTGGACTAATAAATTTTTAGCCTCGATCTAATTTTTAGGTTACAGTGGTATAAACAATATGCGACCTAGGGTACCTCTACAACCGATGTACATACTTCTATCATATCATCTATCATAATAAAACTAAATAATATTAAAATCAAGAAAAGAAACACATATATCTTTTATGATATATGTTAAATTTAATATTTACCTCTTTCATAGTGTAATTTCCACCAGCCATTTTCGAAGCTGGTTCTTTGAGTCGTTATATTCAAAAAAGTTATGTTTTTTACAACACGTCATAGGTAATGAAAAGGTGACTTAAAACACCAGTACTTGCAGAGCCGAATACCGATTGTAACTAATGCCACCAACTGCCAAAATTACATAGTTTATCTTCAAAGACTGATTGTGATTGATAAAGCAATATGCGATATATTACCGATATCAATAACTTTTTCCGTAAGCTTCGGATTAGAAGAGGTGTGCAAATGAAGAAAAAAATAGATATGTCGTGTGTTACGTCGATTAAACAATTGATAAAGTTAAATTGCTTATTTTCTAATAGACTTACTGTGATTTTATAATGAACGAATGAATGAAATAAAACTTTATTCAAATAGATTTGTTACAAGCACTTTTGAATGGTCAATTTAGAGCGTCAGTGTCAGTCAGTCCGTGAGGAAGCTACTACGGGCTCGGAAAGCAGTTCTGCTGAGAAGAGCTTGCGATGAAAATGTCTATAATATTTTATTATACTTCATTATAATTGTTTTCATGAACAACAAAATACATGAATTAGTCTATACATAATAATATTTAACTGAAAAGTGCTTGAATAAAGAAAAAGAACGAGTTTATAACAAAAAGAAAGCTAATTTAATTAAAATAATTCAGAAGATGCCAGATGATAATTTGTTATTGATATATTATAATAAATTAAAAAAAATTATCCAAAAGATATATATTCTAACTTATAGTTAGTAAAAGAAAAATAAAATAATTATTTCTAAATGAATTACCTTAAATTATAGTTTGTACTAAATACATCATAGATGGCGCTGTTTGCATTTTATCGGGTGGTTATCCCGATAATAAAAACTAAAACTATTATCGTCATTGATGTATTTTTAATTATTTTTTTATAAATTTATTTTGCGTGCAACTGTACTCTTTCTTATTTAGTCATAGGATTTTATAAATAAACGAATTGAAATGATATTTTACATAGTCTAAGGAGTGGAGTGTAATATTTGTGTAATATTTGTGTATCGGTATATCATATGGCTCTTGGAGAGTGATAGATTGTTGTAAAAAGTAAGCTGTAAGCCAAGGTTATATAATAATTATTTATCGGACCACTATTAGGTATTTGACATATATTCGACAGCTCAGTTTCTAGTGTACTTGCTGTGCCAGCGGTCACGGGTTCGAGTCCCGCTAAAGGCATTCATTTGTGTGATGAGTACGATTGTTTGTATTCCAATCATGGGTGTTTGTAATATGTACTCGTATGTATTTAAAGTTATATACGTGTAGTGTATCAACTATCTGGTATCCATAACACAAGCATCGTAGCTTACTATGGAATTAGATGGTGCTGTGTGTTAATGTCCCAACTTATTTATTTATTTATTAATGCGAAAGTTTGTATGTGTGTTGTTGTTTCTACTTCACGCTGAAATGATTGGACGGATTTGGATGTTTATTTCACACATAGACTATGAATGCAAAAATGGAGGAACACATCTACGAGTATACATATAATAAAATTTTAACTAAGCCGAATCTGTACATAAAATATTTTTTGGGAAATCTTATTGAAATAGACATTAATATCGATACAGATGCCGAATCTGTAGTTATTAGATTTTTTTTCTGTCTGTCTATCTGTCTATTGCCGCATCACGGAAAAACCACTGGAGGGATTTTGATGAAATTTAGTATGGTGATAGCTGCTTATCCGGGTCAACATATAGGATACTTTTTACGCGGGAAAATATCTCATTTCTGAGAAATTTATACTAAACGATAAAACATAAGTAGGGACGAACCTGAGCGGAGCGAGTGTGAGTCGCTGCTTAATTATAAAATTATACTGCTGGTACTGATTTTGCTTAAATATAATACTAGCGACCTACCTTTGTTTCACTCGGGTGCATCCTACGAATAAATATTATTTATTCGTAGGTTGCATCCCAAGGTGTCAAATAGTATGTTTAACTACAGTTTAAAACCTATCTGTGTACTAAATTTCAAAATCCTTCTAACCGTTTCTGCGTGAATGTCAAACAAACATACAAACACTCATACAAATTTTCGCAACTATAATAGACTTAAGATTAAAAATACGAAATTCTCTATGGTCTACCAGAACAAAGCAAGGGTGAGTCGTTAGTTATTAATATTATCTATTAGATTAAGTATATACTCCCTGTCTTGAACATAATATTACACCTCATATAACACGCAACAGAGACGGATTTTTAGTGATACATTAATCAATAGAGAAAATCTGCATTATAATTCATTTACAAAAATATTTATCTACGATGTCAACAGACTCACCTGATTAGTGATAAGTTAAGAATTCATTGCACTGAAATTTTATGATTACATTATCTTATCACGATTTTAATCATAATCATCAATTTTAATGAACAAATTGTATTAACTTTAGTGCGTTACTTAAAAAATGTGATGGTTCCGTGCATTAGCTATATAAAAAAAGTTAAATTCTGTTTGTTCGTAGACGCTTCACTTAAAGACACTTGGGCGGATTTCTTAAACGCCCAAATAAGGCTTTTAGGGAAATAATACTTTCTTAGATTTACGCGAATATTTGACATTTTAAATAAAAATAACAATAATAGGTACTTGCTTTTGTGAGTAAACTGTAACAACTATATAATAATGCCTTTGAGACGTTTAAACCCTTAGTCTCTCTCGTGACCATGATTGTTGTAAAGCATTCAAAACGTCGGGAACCAAAAATCAAAATAAATCCGCGAAAAAATTCGAAAAGATAGTTTTATTTAGGGAAATAATTAGGAGAGTTAACCAGAAAATTTGAAAATCGGGAAAAATGATAATGCTGTTTTGTCTACAACTTTTTTTCAGAACTCGAAGATCATAAGCCCCTTTATCAAAATTTAGGCAAACAAGTGTCGGATCAGCTAGTGGTATATAAAAATCCTTATTTTTGTAATGTATGTATGTATGTATGTATGTATGAGTGAGCGTCTATCTATATTCCATTTTATGTTTAAAAGTTATCTTCAGAAGTTTAGCTTTTCAGATTCGTGTTTTATAAAATGTAAGTTCTCAAAAGATTGGTGTAAAAAAATTTTTTAGTTTGGGTATTACAAATTTTATGCTTTTTACCAAACATTTATTTTTTATGTTTAATTTTACCTCCAATAATTATTCAAGGAACCCATAAAAATAATGAGTTCTAATAATTTCTACACTGTATCTTTATTATTTACTTAACTTTATTGTTTCATTAGAATAGTGATTATCTTATATAGCTGTGGATCATAAAATCCCGGCATCAAGTCTCAAGTCTAGATAGAAGTATTATTAACTTATTCATATAGTTATAACTCCATCTTTTAAATCCTGTATATAATAACTCCTTCTATTTCTCATATTTTATTCTTAAAATGCAAGATGTAAAAGGTTTCATTTTAACCAAAAGATCTATCATTAGATGGACCAAATTGAGATGCAGGCTATGATGCTGGGTAAATATTATAACTAACTCGAATAATTTGATCTTATTAAAATCTTAACAACATCCTATACAGTATTTAACATAACTGATGGATAAAGATGTCAGGGTGAAGTACCGAGGACCTCAATACCTATTGATTAAGCCCCTATGTATGTTTAACGGTTTTAGTGCTACGAAAGCTAGTTTCTACAGGGGTAAGCCATGAAAACGTAATCATTCAACATTCTATTTAATCTATTCATTCATTTTATCAGTGGAATAGTAGGTTTGATATAATTATATGTCACTTTCACCAAAAAATAAAATCCGTGTGACCAATATAAGACTTCACGTTATAAAATGATTAAGAAAATTCTCTGAAGACTTAATAAATTTATACAAATATAAAAAATATTTATCTACAAAGTATACATTTAATAGTAAATAGCTATCTTTGCTTCGTATTATGAGATGAGCGTAACATGACCTATATTTTCAACGCTTCATCTAAGAGTTAATTAAATAAAACAAGGCTGTGATCGATTTATGGCTCCCTAGAGCTCAGCGATCTAATTCTCCGATAAAAACTAATTGAGATGTTCTCAGTAAAATAGTAATATACTTAATTGAAAATTATCTGACACTTATGTTAGTGTCCAGATGCTACGTTCCACATCGAGTTGGAATTTTTGTTTTATATTTATTAGTATCAATATAATATCATTAGATATGATGACATATCAATATAATGGCAAAAAAATATAAATGTGCTTTTTTTATTTATAAATCAATCTTTAGAGTTTATTATATCTGTGCCATGGGTATAAAGGCTAAGGAAGTAGATAGGTGTGTGTTTCAATATCACGTGGAAACTCATGGGGGTGTCCCCGTTTTTTGTGCATACGAACACTTCTAGCACTAAGCTCTTTCCTACTATTATGGACGGTCAATGTAAATCAACCAGAAACCACTTGATAGGCTGTTTCCTTCCGGAAATCTTATTTCCTTGATGTAGCCACCAATAACTCATCAAAAACTAACCTACGTCCATATTATTATTAAGATTTGTTAAAATAATTTAAATAAAACAGTATAAACAGTAAATGTATACGGAACTAATGATATTAAAAGCACTGTGCTAAATTCTGCTGTAAAAGCTTTTCCAGGTACTTTTATTTGTTCGAGATGCCAGATATATACACAAAAAAAGATTTCAAACCCACTCCCTATTTATATTGAGGTTAATAAACTGGTAAGAAAAAGTACCGATGGAGATATTGTTTCAAAAATGAGAGCATGTATTTCTTCGGCAAGAATTAATGATAAGACAGCTTAACAACTGCGATTTATAACAAGTTAGCTGTAAAAGTAAATTAAAAACTTAATTGCTCATAAATCTCGGTGCTAATGAAACAACTGCTGATATTATGAGATTTTTTATATTCCCATAAAACTGTGTTATTAACTAAAAATATTATTTTAATATAATTTTTACCTTTAGATTGAAATATCATTTATTGGGATGA